TAGTCACAATTTCAGCTAATGTGCTATGTGGGTATCTTTACTAGAGCAAATTGGCACAACATGGGAATATAACTTAGGAGCATGGTATGTGGCTATTAATATGGTGAATATGTTTTTTCCCACATTGATCCAGAGAGAGGATTAGAATTTTCATGAGGTGGGCTATAGGACATAATTACAGTTCTGCTCTGAATTTATAAGGTTTGCCTGACAGTTATCCTAATTTCTATCATAATATAGTCTGAAGGTACCTGGGCTGTATAGCCATCCTGAGGAACAATGCATTGGTCCATTATATATGTGATATCATATGAATTTGACCCATTGAGCAAGAAGTACTGTGAATGCCAGAGTAGGACATGGTATAGGGGCTAGGAGATAAACCCTGCAGAGAGTCAGAGGCCTGCCACGTTGGTAAACTTCAGAGATGTTTAGTGATCTGAGGCAGGCTGGGCCAGTCCATCCAAAATGCACTTTGGCCCTCCTGTCACCAAGAAAGAAGCACAAACTTGATGGGCTTCTTTTCTGGAGGCAGCATGTCTTACTTGAGAAAACTGATAGAATCCAATTCATCAGGGGACTTGGAGAGTTTCTAGCTCTGAGTGGGACCCAGAGCATAAAAAGATTCTGTAGTAGGACTTTAGGATAAGCATCCTTGTTTGGGTTACATAACCAAGAAACTTCATGGAACTAGAGGTATCGGTGCAAGAGAAAGATACAGCATGGAAACTCTGGTCTCCAAAGTAGAGACATAGCAGTCTCACACCCCTAGAGTTCTGGAACAAGGTCATGAAGTCTGTGAAAGGAAACTATACACCATTCAAAACACAGCTCCTGGCACATAACTGGGCTCTTATAGAAACCGAATACTTGACTGTGGGACTTTAAGCAACCATGTGACAAGCACTGCCTGTCTTAAGCTGGGAACTGTCAAACCAACTGAACAATAGAACAGACAGACCCAGTGGTAATACACTGAAAAAAAAAAATGTTACCTCTGGGGTCAGCATAAGCAGGGTCAGAGGGTGCAAGGAAGCTTCACAAACAAGTGGCCCAGATCCTCACACTACCTGTCAGTATTTTCTGATTCTGTTCTCAAGGCTCACTGCTCACACCCAATGTGGGCTTCCCTACAACTCTCCGAAGGAGGAAGAAATAGCCCAAGCTCAGTGCACTGATTCACTGACGCGATTTGTAGGTGTGGGCCTGAAATGGACCATCACCTCCATACAGCCCCACTCAGTAGGCCTGGAAGGCAGAGAGAAGTGCCCCAGGGCGCTGCCTCTGGTCAACCACTTTATATGGCACAAGAGGAGGTAGAGGCAAGGGGAGATACATCCTCGTGGGTAACGGCAGGTGACTCAGATCATGGGTTGGCCAACGAGACTCAAGTCCAGCCCCATGCTTGTTTTTGTAAATAAAGTTTTATTGAAACCCATCCGTACCCATTTATTTTCATGTCGTTGGTGGTTGCATTTGCACTATAATGGTAGCATTGAGCAAAGTGTTAAACATTTGCTACCTGACCCTTTGTCCTTTGCCAACTGTTAGGTGGTTGAGAAGAAGAAAGAGTAAGCCTGGGAACCTGGAGACAGAAAGGTCTAAGGAGAATGCAACGGGAGTGGACATAAAGTGTCATAACTTTGACTAATACATTCAAGTTCACTGGAGACATCTCCTGCAAAAGCGACATGAAACAGTCAAGTGGACCAATGACTCAGCCCACAGATATCAACCAAGGTCTGCCCTTGCTCACACTTCTAGGTATACTACAATACCTAGAATGATCACTAAACTATTAAAAGAGTCAAGCCATACCAAGTATATTCTCTGACCCCCGTGGGAAATACATTTGAAACCAATAACAGAAATACATCTGGAAAATTCCCAAATGTGTGAAACAAAACTGCACACTTTTAAATAACATGAATCACGGAAGAAATTAACAATTAAACTGGAAAATACTTTGAACTAAATGACTCTGAAAACACAACATATTGGAATTTGTGGAACTTGCCCAAAGCAGAACTTAGGGAGAAGTTTATAGCACTAAGCACCCATGTTAAACAAGAAGAAAGATCAGATCAGCTTTCGCCTTAAGAAACAAGAAAACAAAGAGCCAATTAATCTCAGGTAACCCAGGACCTCCCCTCACAGGTAGTACACATTCTGTGTGACTCCATTTATATAAAACTCTAGACTATGCAAACTAATCTAAAGAGACAAAAAGCAGATCAGTAGTTACTTGGGAATGGGGGAAAAGGAGATGTAAGAAAGAGGGATTACAAGGGGCTCAAGGAAACTTCTGAGTCATAGATATATTTACTATTTTGATTGTGGAGATGGTTTCCTGGGGGACTACATATATCAAAATTTATCAAATTGTACACTTTAAAAGTGTGCAGTTTACTGTATATCAGTTATGCCTCAATAGACCCATTAAAAATTAGCAAGGAAAAGAAGCTTTCTTTTGGTTCAACTTGGAGCAGAGTCTGTAAGCTTGAGACTCATGGCAGCCATCTTGACATTGTTAGGAGAAAACCTGCTTGAGAGTGAAGCCAACCCAGAGGAAAATAGAATTTGCAAGAAGGCTGGATTCTGGTGATGCCTTGAGCACCTGGATCCAGCTGTTCCTGAAACCATCCCTGACATGTTTATTCACTGAGACAAAACATCTCTTTGTGTGTATGTGTGTGAGAGAGAGGGAAAGAGATTAACTCAGTCTGAGTTGAGTTTTCTCTATTGCAACTGAAGAGTCCCATAAAATAGCCCACAGTCAGAAAGACAAACTGAGAGGCCCTTCCTAATTGGCATGTTTCCTGGGGGGGATTCATTTTGGGATTGCAGGAGTGATCAGTGCTGCCTGTATTCAGACCCTGGTGGTCCCAGAGCGTGGAGGCGCGAGGAGGAGGCTTCAGTGCTTGCATGCTGGGCTGTCTCACAGGGAATCACAGTCAGTTGTGCATCTGCTCTGGAGGAGTATTTTCAGCAGCAAACAGAGTGGTTTGCAAATAAACAGACACCTGGAACCAATCCTGAAAAGGAGAGCATCTATGTGCGGCCACTGTCAAACTAGGTCAGCCTCAGGCACGACTGCTTTGACAGTTTGCTCCCTAAGGTGACCTGCAGGTAGTCGCTTCTTTCCCCCACCAATCAGCTGTCTGCGGTTTGAAACATCCAGGCCTGGGAGAGACTTAGGGTGCCAATGACTTCGTGCTCCCCTCTTCCACAAGGGTGTACCCCCACCCCAACCCAAACCCCTGAATTCCACAAAGGTAAGCCCCACTGCTTCATTTGTCAGCAATTCCAGGAGATGTGGTCTCATCAAGTAACAAATGTGTGACTCTAGAAGGTACCGTGACCACTTTGGAGCTAGGCAGACCTGACGTCTCCTCCCAGCTCGTCGGCAGCACTGGAAACCACTGGAACTTCAGCTGAGCTTATCCTAAGGATTTCATGATGTGCTTCCCCAGCTCTCAGGAAGGGATTCAGCAATGGAACAGTCCTTCCCCGGCTCACTAGATTCTGAGCTTCTTAAGTACGCGTTTGATGGGAGCAGGTGGGAGCAGCATGTCCTAGTTACCTCTGCACCCCCCACACTAAGGCCTGCACACAGTAGGTGCTCTGAAAATGCCTGTTGAACGAGCATAGGACTGAACCACATCTTCCCGTGTTCCTTGTCTGGCCTCAGCTGGGCTAGTTCTGTGGGATTCCAGGCTCCTTGATTCTGAGGGATTTCGACTGTCCACTCAAAATTTTGTGCCAAGCTTCTTTGAGTCTATGGGATCTCCATTTGTGTTTGCCTTTTTTAAAAAAATAATAATAATAAATCCACATTATTAGTGCTTTTGTTTTATAAATTTATTTAATTGGATGATAATTACTTTACAATATTATGACGGCTTTTGCCATAGGTCAACATGAATCGGCCATAGGTATACATGTGTCTCCCCCAGCCTGAACCCCCTCCCCCAACCATCTCCACCTCGTCCCTCCGGTTGTCACAGAGCAGTGGCCCTGGGTTCCCTGCTTTATGCATCAAACTCTCACTGGTCACCCAGTCTACATATGGTAATGTACAGGTTTCAATGCTATTTTCTCAAATCATCCCACCCTCTCCTTCTCCCACTGAGTCCAGAAGTCTGTTCTTTATGTCTGTGTCTCCTTGGCTGCCCTGTATGTGTGTGTGCTTTTATGAGACCCACGTGGGGTCAAAATTGAGGCCTCATAGTGGATCCATCAAGAGCCTCGGTCTGCAGGACCTATGGATGTGACTCTGATCACACCACTCCCCTGTCTGGAACCTTTTGGTAGCTTTCCCTGGCACTTGGAGAAAGTCCAAACTTCTCACGCGGTCACCAGAGCCATCATGAGCTGCCCTCATCTTGAAGACAGGGTTGCCCAGCACATTCCTAGTAACAAACTGTGTTCCAAATCTCTGTTGTCTAACACATTAGCCGCTAGCCATGCAGCTACCAAGCACTTAAAATGTGGCTAGGCTAAAGTAAAATGTATTGTGAGTGTGAAATGCACACTAGCTTTGGAAGACTTAGTATCTTAAAAAAAGAAAGTAAATATCACATTAATAACTTACACATGGATGATCTCTGGAAAGGATGATACATGTGATACATTGTTAAATATATATATATATGTGATATAGTGTGTTAAATAAAATGTTATTAAAATTAATTTCACCCATTTCTTTTCCCTCATTTGAGGTGGATACTAAAAAATTTTAAATCATATATGTGGCTTGCCTCTGGGGTTTCCATTACATTTCTATCAGATGCCCCTAATCTAAATTGTGAGTGATGGTGTGTTGGTGTGGGAGGTCAGTGAGGTCTGGGGCAGTCAAGAAGATCAGCAAACCTCAGATCGGGCGATGAGGTAGGCAGAGAGGGAAGCAGTCTCCTTTGGCTGGTTTCTCTAATTTCCCCTGTGAATAAATGGTCTATCTGTCCTTTTCCCCTTTTGTCTTGTCTCCTGCCATTTCTCACCTACCACCCCCTCGGCATCCAATGTGCTGGTCACAGCGGAAACACTGGCCGTCGCTGCAGATGCCGAGCTCCTCATTCACCCCAGTTTCCTTCCCAGAAACGCCCCTTATCCAGAAGGGAGCATCTGGGTTCTCGGATTTGGGCATGTCTTCAGGGTTTCTCGACAGAGTAACATTTGGGGTCTGCTGTCCAATGTCCATGTCCCCCTTCTGGAAGCCATGTGCTTTTTTCTTAGTTCGTGTTACCCTCCAAAAAGAGATACTGCGAAAAGGATTTGGGTTGTGATTTGGGGGGGAGGAAGTCCCGAAAACATTGTGAGGGAGTAGGGGTATGAGTCAGGGAAAGGATGGAAGGCAGTGCAGGCTGGATTGGTAAGATCACTGTAGGCAGTGGGGACTCAGTTCCTTGGGAACACGATGAGAAATGGTGTGGCATAAGTCTCATAATGGTCCAGCTGCAAGTGAGTTAGCTGGGTTACTTATTCTCTAACTTTTGTTCTTTGATCAGGGCCAATTGTGAAATATTTACTCTGGCTTCCTGGTGGCTCAGATGGTGAAGAATCTGCCTGCTGTATAGGAGACCCGGGTTTGATCCCTGGGTCAGGAAGATCCCCTGAAGAAGGGCATGGCTACCCACTCCAGCATTCTTGCCTGATGAATTCCATGGACAGGAGAGCCTGGCAGGCTACGGTCCATGGGGCCACAAAGAGTTGGACACGACTGAGCGACTAACACTTCATACTTCAGTGAAGAGATAGTGAATGCCCTCTGGCAGAAAGATGCAGGGAGCAATATTTAGAGTATATAAGAAATGTCAGCAACTGACCTTCAGAAAAGGCTGAGGGGAAATGGACAAAGCACAGTAGCTGCTTCACCTTAGAAGACAGAGAAGAGAAATGAAGTGGGATCCTTGACGATGTTTCTGATTTGTTGGATCAAGCAGTACCTGAAGGCAACATCTAGACTTCTCATTGACCTATGCCTATAAATTCCGTACACTATTTAAACTGGCTTGAGATGAGTTTTCTATTATGTGCAATATATTGACTTCTAATTCGTTTATTTCCTAACTTTGTTCCCACAAAGAAGATTCCCTGTGGCATCAAAACCAGGGCTGATGGGTAAGTCATGCCATTATTTCCTTCCTGAGACAGGAGTGCAACGGTGAGTGAAGGAGGAACTGCTTGAGGCGGTATCCAAGTTCTTCTTGTGACATGGCAGCATTCTAGTAAAGAAGACCACACTGGGGAACCCACCAACTCTCTCTAAACACAGTCAGCTCCGTGTTCCAATCTGAACCCCATATCCGATGCATTAGAGTTTATTTCAGAAAGCTGAATTCACACTAAAAATCTTGCTGTTAAACACAAAGATTTCTTTGTGTTTAAAGATTTCTTTGATGCTTCAGGAATTCTTACAGGATAATAAATGGAAATAACAAAGGAGTTATTTATATACACTATAAAATACTTATCTATACAAATAATTTATGAAGAATAACTAAGGAAGAAGTTAGAAAAAGAGAAATTTCTCTTGAAATTCACATCATTTCACAAAGACTGGTGGATTCAGGAGGACATCTGGAATCCACAAATATTGAGCATAACATCTGAGAATCCCCAGTAGTCTGCCTCTCTAAGCATCCCATCTTGGACCTACCAGCTTGGGGCAATTTCTCTTCTCAGTTTCGCTTTGGGGGCAAGAGTGGGGAGTGGGAAAAGAGACACGGGTCCATTCCTGACGTGACCACCAGAGGGAGCTCCCAATGATTTTTCTGTACCTGAAAGGAAATGATTGTCCAGTCCACGGAAACTGACAAAGAAAACTTGACTTAAAAGATGTCTTCCTACAAACCTCAGCATCTTCTTGCTAACATGCCAAGAACAATCACTGAATACTTTTAGTATGTTCAATGCATCCACCTGGGATCTGAGAAGCATTGTCTTATTAAATCTAGGTCATTTGATTCTGGATATCGGTTTATCTTGGGAGCTGCCCCTACATTTTACAAGGTGAATTCTGGAGCAAAAAGATTAAAGATTCAGAAGGAGTAAAGTTAACACTGAGCCCTTGGCCTGGTAAATTGACAATCATGCCAGAATAACTATTCTAAAGCTCTGATCCTCATTTCACAATCAGTATGAAGAATGCCACTATCACCTCCCTTCCCCACACTTGTCTGGGTCTTTTAACTCATATTTAAATTGATTCTCTCGTTTATTATTATTATTATCATTTTCCCAGGGACTTTGGATCATTATAAGATTGCTGGTAATGACAGACTATAATTAAGCTTAAGATGTATTTTTCTTTTAGGAAGAGGAGAATCAGCTCTAGCTGAGATTCCAGATTGCTCGGCCTGTAATTTGCGGTGCTGTCACAAAGGGGTCCTTTCTCGGCAGCAGTGCATGCGATGATGAGCAAGGAGCTACAGTTGGGGGCGCGTGCCTCTCCCCTCACTTTCTCTGGAGCCCACAGAATGGATGCCTAAATAGCTGAGTATCGTTTGAGACTGATTACAGGCCAGATCCTGCTATTGTGCCTCATCAGATGTCATTGTTGGGGCTGCAATTGCGCTGGGAAGGTTCTCTTTGCCGCCTGCTCCAAGCTCATTTCTAGGACAGGAGAGAAAGAGTGTGGTACACCTGGGGCTGGCGTGGGGAGGATTGTTCTGATTGTTGCCTGAGGAAGGGCTTGGCAGATCATTGGAAATGAAAGATGGGCTGGCTTCAGCCATGATGCCAGTAACATTGGTCCTCCTATGACTCCCAGGTTTATGGATAATCTGTCACAAAGAGGGTTGAAGTCATGGCTCTGTTCTCATCAGAACTTATGTATGAACTTAAGCAAGCAGTTTAACTCCTATGGCCTTACTTTTCTCATCTGTACAATGGGATAAATAATACTCTCCTATTTGAGTACTCAGTACTCAAACCTAGAGATAGCTAGATGTAGATATAGATAGAGATTCATGGATATACAGACATATAATATATATGGAAGATATAGCAACTACCCATATATATTATTACAGGTATTGTGGGTGCATGTGCGTGTAGTTTCTTAGTAGTAGGGATCAGATTATATAGAGGGTTTTTTTATGCTAGAAGATGAAGGCTGCACTTGACTGCCTAATGATAATAATAAACTTGCACTGAGCTCTGAGCACCCTCTATGCATTAAAGCAGTGATTCCCAGTAAAACAAAAAACAAACAACAAAAAAAAACCCCTCCCAGCTCTTGGGCAGGACAGTTCATCCTCTTTGGGACTGTCCTAGGCAACGCTTGATTGTCAAGGTCCTGGAAGACCCTCAGCCTCTGTGCCCACCAAGCATGGTCAGTGCCATGCTTCAGTCACATGACAGCTCAACCCGTGTACTTCTTTTAAAAGATCCAGCTGAGAACGCTTTTGCTAAGTGTAGGCATGTATTGTCCAATGCGAAAGCTCCCAGCCATGCGTACCAGTGGGGCACTTGCAATGAAGCTAGTTTGAATTGAGATACACTGTGAGTGTAAAACAATATACCCTGGATTTTAAAGACTTGGCATGGAAAAAAACCCTGAAGTATCTCATGAATATTTTGTAATGTTGATCATACAATGGAATGATAATATCTTGAAAACAGTATATTAAATAAGACATTTGGATTCATTTCACCTCTTTCCTTTTACTTTTAAAAGGTAGCTACTAGAAAATGTTGAAGTAGCCCATAACTTGCATTTGTGGTTTCTGTTATATTTGTATTGGGCATTGCTAGTATGGATTGGGATGTTGTTGGAAGTTCCAGAGTCGTAATGGTGTCAGAGCTGCTGGGGCAGACACTGCTAGAATGGGCCAGCAAATATCTGTATTCTGTTTCTTCTGTACTACCAATATCCTGATTGAGTTTGGGAAAATGCTCTTTTCCTTAGCTTCCCCTGTTACCTCATTCCTGCTCCAAAGGTACAAACGGAAGTCGACTGGATGGGGCATCTGAGAAAACAATTGCTAAACTGAGAAAAAGGGGATTTGGCTGACAAGTGCCTTTTGCCCATTGCTCCTTGCCCCTCTTTCTGCCTGGAATGCGGCACAAAGTCTGGTGGCAGAGCAGCCTTCTTGAAACCATGAAGTTGACAGTCATTCTCTAAGAATGGTGGGAGCAGTAAGAACTTGGTTGCTTGAACAACATCATTAACCCCACACAGCCCACCCCTGAACTCTTTGTGCTGGGAGCAGAACCTCTTTTGAGTAAGCTCCTGCAGTTGGGTTTCTGTTACCTGAACTGAACATTAGATTAACCAATTACCATTTTGGAGTCAATACAGTGGATATTTTCGCTCTGTCCCAAACATTAGGGCATCCTTGGTCTGGGGACATTCTGGCATTACGAGTTGGGCTTCTCTATGGCAGAACTCTGGAAACATGATTGCTCAGGCCTCCCCTCTCATGAGGCTTTCTCAATCAGACGGATACAAGGGAGACCTCAATTCAGAGGAACTGGAGAGAGGGAATCTGTGGGTTATACCCCAATAGCCGTTGAGTAAGCTCCTTTTCTGCTTAGTCAGCCCAAGTCAGAATCTACAGCCTGTAAGCTAGAAGCCCAATAAGCACAATTGTGATTTGGTGAAGGTCCTGCTCCTCCAGAGTCTCTTGCTGAACTCCAGATTTCCCCCCCAAAAGACATATGAACCCTTAGGAATGACTGACCAGAGATCAGAGACGTCCTTTGGACCTCTGTGACATGGGCAAAATGCAAGACAACTTTTAGCACTCCTATCCATCTCTCAGGTCACCACAATGCAGGGATTTTTGAGCTGAAGTTACTGATGAAGAAACTAAGGTGAAGACCAGACCTGCATAGGGAAACCTAACAAGTGAGGAGTGGCTCAAATCTCAGCCTTCTGACTCCCAATAAAATACACTTTCCAGTTCACCTCTCCACCTTCAGCCTAAGCACATGTATATAGAATAAGACAGTGTGGATTCAAATCATTGCACCAATAGTTAACCCACTGTGTGACCTTAGCCAGATCACTTAACCTCTCTGAGCTCTGGTCTCCTCTTCTACAGAACCGTCTTCTTGATCATGTAAACTATGGTCACACAAGGCTCCCTCTGCTTAGAAGTTTCCCTGCCTTGTTCCCTACTTTGCTGTTGCCATCTGGAAATTCTTAAATTTTGAATAAGGAGCCCAGCATTTTCATTTTTCATGGGCCTTGCAAATGATGTAGCTAGTCCTGCTACTTTATAAAATGAAAATAATATTTACCTCAAAGGTTTGC